AAGCAAGGCCCCACCTCATTTACCTGCCAAAACCCGCGGCAGAAACAAGGCAAAGAAGACCAATTTTTTAATTTTTGAAATTCAAGTATATTGGGCTATAAATGGGCTGAGAAACTCTTATAATGAACATTTTTTATTGGATTTATCTTGTAAATAGGTATTGATTTTGTAATATGAACAGGTTTGGTCTTGAATAAAATGGATTCTAAAATTTGTTTTAAAAAAAAACGCAATCGTTTTGACTTTTTCCCATTTTCGTGTTTTTGGTTAAAGGTAAATAGCTGTTTAAATCCTTGTTTTTTTATGTGTTATTTCAGTTAAGTAAGTTTTAATTTCTTTTATTTTATTCCTATTATTTATAGTTACTTATAAAATTTGATGTAGAAAAATAACAACCTAAGAAACTGGTACATCGTACCAATTTATATGGTACATCGTACCGGAGCAATCCGAAATGAGTCTACCTCTTCTCGTACCGAATTTTAGGGACCTAGTGAATTGTGATCCCGTTCCACGTTCCCGTACCGTAGCGTACAACGATCATGGTTGAACGCATATTTTAAGGACACAGCTATGCCTTTGGAGAAGCAAAAACAATTAGCCAATGTATTTGGCATTAAGTTTTATCCACAAAATTTTTCCATGGAAGTTGAACGATGCCTATCAGTTTATAACTGTCGGCAGAATGGAACTTTGGTAGGGAAAGATCCCGAGTCCTATTGCGTGGTGGAAAATGATGCGAGCTCTGTAAATATAGAAGGTCCAGATTCTGGTCTTTGCCCGTCTAATGGATCCCTTTCGTGTGTATGTGATTCTTTATCTTTGGTGACAAAAGGTGAACTTCAGAAAGAGCTTCTTGAAAGTATTGAGGAGTTTGAGTTTGAGATGGGGACTGGAGCAGTAATTCCCTGTCTTGAAGCTGTTGTCTCTCAGATGTCTGTTGGCCAGTCTGCTTGTTTCTATACAGAGTTGCCTCCTGAAGATTTGGTTTTGGCTGCAGCTAAGGATTCGGAAAATGCTCTTGCATTCTTATCTTCACGTGAGTAAACACATTTTGAAATACTAAATAATAGTTGATAAATTTCCTATCCTTGACTAGGAATGTGAACTGCCTGCAATGTTTTGGTAGTGTCTAAATCTCTGAATGAACGAATCACTTTGATTAAAAAAAATTGTGGTCAGCAGGGGAAGTGTAATATATTTTGCACATGAAACACTTTACTATGTTAATGTCAGTTAATATGCACTTCAATTGTATATACAATTGAAACTATATGTTTATTGTATATTTACTTGAAGCATTCGTGTGGGCAACTAATATTAGTAGCAATAAACGGAGCTTATTTTATTCTTGTGGCATTTTTCTTTAAATTGTTTGAGAGATCTAATTGGCTATGCATGGTTTTCGTTGCATTAGCTTGCTGCTTGGAGTACTCGATCATCTTGTTGCAGGTTACAGAACCCCCAGAAGACAGAATGGAGCAGGCACTTTTCAGCCCACCACTCCCAAAGCAACGTATAGAATATGCAGTGCAACAGATTAAACAATCTTGTGTTACTTCTTTGGTATTTGTCTTTTTTCCTCTTTTTTGTTAGTGTTGATAATAAAAAAGTTCAGCGTGAGACTTATTCTGTTGTAGGTTGATTTTGGATGTGGCTCTGGTAGTTTACTGGAGTCTTTGTTGGAGTATCCAACTTCTTTGGAAACAATTGCTGGAGTTGATATTTCACAGAAGAGCCTTAGTCGTGCAGCAAAGGTGTGTTCCAGCATATTTGGGGTTTATATATGGCCAAATGAATTTGAGTAGATCAATTTTGAGCACCATTTGAAAGATATGAATAAAATAAATTATTCCATTGTTGCATAAATGTGTGGATAAGGATTTTAAATTATGTTATCTGTGTGCTAATATATTTTCAGAAGTGAAAGTGTATGAATAAATAAATTATTCCATTGTTGCATAAATGTGTGGATAAGGATTTTAAATTATGTTATCTGTGTGCTAATATATTTTCAGAAGTGAAAGTGTGTGGTTGCTAAATATTTTTGATATCTTCATGGCACAGGTTCTTCATTCAAAACTAGTCATGCAGTCAGATCCTGATGCACCGTGTAGGAGTATAAAATCTGCCATTCTCTATGATGGTTCTATCACAGAGTTTGATTCTCGGTTGTGTGGATTTGATCTCGGCACATGCTTAGAGGTATTTAGAACTAACCCTTTTAATGAACCTTTGCCTGCAAACCGTTGATAGTTGATGCTACATTGGTGATGCACATACTTCTAACATGCGGATTGTGTTTTTAAGAAACGGTGCGTACACTTACTTTTTCTTATGTTTTACATCTTTGTAGTCTTTATTCTTTATTAAAAGACTTGAGCAAACCTATACATGTTCAATCTTTGTAATTATGAATCTTGTGATGATATTATTAAAACAAAATATTACTTAATAAGTCAAGAACAACACTATTCAAACCTATATATGTTCAATCTTTATGCTTTATGCTTCAAGCAATTTAATGGTTTAGTGCCTAGATTGCACCTTGTGCTCTTCACAACACTAGTAGAATGATATATTAAATGGTGAAATGATGGCTTTAAAGATGTTGGTCTTAACAATAAAAAGAATGCAGTTTCCTTTCGATTGCTTCTTACATTTTGAAAATGAATAGGTGATTGAACATATGGAGGAGGACCAGGCCAGTCTGTTTGGTAACATTGCACTCAGTTCTTTTCGTCCGAGGATTCTTATTGTCGGACCAGGAACCGGGATATGCTACACAGATTGCTGTCTTTAGAAGGGGCATTCAACCCAAGGATGGTGTTCTTCAGGAGCATGAAGTTTCTGCATGCCAATACAAAACTATATGGGAGTGGAAGTAAGCACCCTCCGAAAAATTAATAGATGAATTTGAATTTAGTTTAGTGCGGTTGTAGGGGGTATAACTAACCACACATTTTGAGCAATGTGAAATATATACCGTGCAAATGAGCATATAAAGTCTGCAAACTTTAAAGTAGTACAACATTTATTAATTCACATGCAGCTGGTTCTATATGAATGTGATATTATGCGTATATATTATGCAGATGTAGTTGTTTGAATCAGAGCCGCTTGAAAAGTTGTGCAAGGTCATTGCAACTATTAAACAACATGTTCTTATTTTATTGCATCACAGGAGAAATGAATAAGGGAATAATTCTAAGGTACTATCTATTTAGAATTTTTTTAATTTATTAATAATACATACATATTATGTAGATGTAGTTGCTTGAATCTGAGTCCTTTAAGGAGAAAAATATTTTTTTTTACAACTAAAGTTAATTCAATAGGTTCAGAAATTTTGCAATTCTTTTTTTTAATAATGACAACTAGATTTTAATAATAAAAACAATTAAAGGAATTAGAATTACGACACATTCAAACAACAAAAATATTAAACCTAAAGATACGAAGAAAAATAAAAAAAAAATTATTGAGAATAACGTCCAACATCAAAAGAATCCAATAACCTTTAGAAAACTCTTCTATGTCGAACAAAACGTTTTACGAAGTGATTAAGGAATGGTGAGTGAATCGAATGCACAATTTTAATTATATCGCTAAACAACATTTTACTAAAGAGGGGATATAACTATACGTGACCACCGGTAAACCAATCAGGAAATAAATGTCGTTGGGGTCTTTGCACGAGCATCAAAACGACCACAAAGATATGTGAAAAACGTATCAAAAGCCAAAAGAAATATGCCACAAGAACACAGAAAAAACTTGCCACAAAAGCAATGAAAAGTGTCACGTGAGTATAGATTTTTATTTAAAATTGAAAAAAATACTAAAAAAAAGAAAAAGGAAAGAAAAGGAAAACAAAGGATATATATAGTACGAAGAATAACTAGAGAACTAATAATCACCAATAGTTGGTAACCAACTTTAAGATTAATGTCATCGTTGATTAAATAAAAAGGAAAGAGAAGGCGACACAAAAAATATTTAAAAAAAACTATGTCCTTATTAAATGAAACTTAATTGTGGAATTTTGCAATTCTTAAAACTATAATATTAGAAAATTACATAAGCATCGTATAATATACACTTTGGCGGGGTCGATGTATGTCCTTATTTAAAAAACTTTAGGAATGACAATTTCTTATAAATTCTAAAGGAAATCAGTAAGGTATGGGATTTGGTAATGGTAGGGCTTTAGGGTTGTCAAGAATTAGGAATTTCTTACATTATGAAGAGCTTTGTAGATTTGTAAGGAAAGTTGTAATCATAAAGTTTTAGGGTTTACAAAATTCCTTATACTTTGGTAAGAAATTTAGTATATTTAAAACGATGTATGTAATGATAACTTAGGAGTTACGAAATTTCTTAAATGTTCTAACAAGTTTTTTAATTCCAAAAGTATTATTATAAACAAGTTTCAAGGAATTAAAAACGTGCTTGCACAATTTGCATATATTAATTTCAAAATTAACAAAATACATCATTATTCTTCCGTAATTTGCAAATAACATTTTAAAGAAATTTTTTTTGCCCTCTCGATTTTTCAGTGTTTTGCCTTGATTAATTTAGATCGACCCAAGTCATACACATGTCTTCGGTGGGTGAGTCTCCCAACGGAGATTACCTACGTGCACAAGGCTTCAAACTCGAGATTTACTTAAATGATATCAAACTCTTACCGCTTAAACTAATTCCATGGGTAATATTTTAAAGAATTCTTTACTAATTATATCCCTGCAATTGACAATTTCTCCACCAAACCATATATTTAGGGTACCAAATAAGAGTGATAGAAGAAAAAAATTCACAACTACCAACACCTACATTATGTAAAGTGGTAAAAGTGGATGGTTATTGGTTACAACACCCGACCTTAATTTGGTTAATTGTTGGACTCAACCATTTGATTTCGTGACATCCCACAATACTTATTTAACCTTTATAAATGGATAAATCTGGTCATTCATCAACCTTCAACAGCTTCTTCCATCAACTCTAGCTAGCTACCTCTGGTTCTTCCATGGCTGTACAAAGTGGAGAGAAATTGCCCATGTTTATCTGGTCCAACCCAAGGAATAGATGGACCTTGCTGGTGCTTAGATTGCTGGCATTTCTTGCTGCAGCAGCTGCAACTCTTGTCATGGTTCTCAACAAACAAACCAAAACTTTCGTGGTCGCCACAATTGGAACCACCCCTCTCAAGCTTACTCTCACTGCCAAGTTTAACCACACCCCAGCATTTGTGTAAGAAACCTATCTCTTTATTAGGGATGGACAGACGGGGCGGGTGGAGACAGTCGTCTCTTGAACTTTTCAAATTCTCTTATATTTTAGTTTTTTTCTTGTATATTTTCTATTGATAATATGTTTTCGATACTTAAATTTTATAAATTCGCGTCCTAACATAAAATCTTGCATTCGTCCATGCTTTTTATCATATTCATTCATTGTCCTTCATTATATACACATATTATGAACATTGAGAATGTAAAAAATGTCTAACGTTTAACTAAACAATTATTTTGGCCTCTATTTTTTTTAGAGTATTTTGACCCAACATTTTATTTTAAGACAAAAATACTCATAACGTTTACTAAATAGTCACTTTATCTTAGAGCATTTTGGCCCATGATGTTTTATTTTAGGGCAAAAATATACATATTTTAGAGTGTGTTTGTTGACTAATGGTTTTCATCCATCGAAGGGTCTTTTTGTCTCAAAATGAAACGTTAGATACCAAAATGTTTCAAAAAAAAAGAATATATGTCAAAATGACTATTTAGTTAAACGATAAGGGTATTTTTTTATCATTGTCTCATGAGTAATTGTAGTGTTCCATATTTTGCATGGCATACAGGTTCTTTGTTATGGCTAATGGACTGGTGAGCATCCATAACTTGGTGATGATAATGGTGGATCTGTTGAGGAGCAAGTTGGATTACAAGGGCTTCCGCTTTCCCATGGTTGCTATTTTGGACATGGTAGGTCGACTACTACGTACAGTTGTTTTTTTACTTTTACGTACTCAGAGCTTGCTTTTGTTTATATTTTGGTCGATGGGGTAGCTGAACGTGGCATTGTTATCTGGTGGAGCAAATGCGGCGGTGTTCATGGCGGAGCTGGGGAAGAATGGCAATTCTCATGCGAGGTGGGACAAGATTTGTGATAAATTTGGGACGTACTGCGACCGTGGTGCCGGAGCTCTTATTGCCTCATTTCTTGCACTGGCTTTCATGCTTCTCGTTTCCTTCATCTCTATCCTTAAACTTGCAAACTCATCGTCCCATATTTCTCACAACAATAATTAACCCTAAACCTCAAACCATTCCCATGGACTCTATTACTATTTCATACTAGTTTTCTGTTTTACTTTTCAAATCTATGTCCTACTATTCTTCTTCAATTACTTTATTTTTTCGAAATCTGTTCGAAATCTGTTCAGAACTTTCTTATCGTATTAACAATGTAGATGCAGTTGTTCGAATTCAAGACTGAGAATAACATTAAATTTTATCAAAGTCACTTAACAAATTCTTTTCTATTACTCTTACTCTTAATTTCTTTGTTCTACTTTGAAAAGTAACATTTATTTTCACCGTAAAAAGCATTATATAATAAAAATTTTATTAAATTTTAAATCAAATAATATTTTATTACTTAATTTTTATTTATTTATTCTAATTTTTTCAAATAAAATAACATCTTTTAAATTTAATTTCGTTCAAATCTTATATTTTCAAATTTGTGATCAAAATAGAACGCGTCTTTAACTACATGTCAAGAAAGAGTGTCGATTCAAAAATTAAAATATTAAAATAAAAAATATTTTTATTAAAAAGTCCAATAAAAACATGTCACGCATAGTGTAGTAAGAAAGAGTGTCGATTCAAAAATTAAAATATTAAAATAAAAAATATTTTTATTAAAAAGTCCAATAAAAACATGTCACGCATAGTGTAGTAAGCTTTGACTAAAAATCCCAGTCCTTAATCAATTTTCCATAATAACTATTATAATTAAAATACAGTGTAGTCATAATATTTTGATTGAATTTTCTATAAATTTAATGTAGGGTTTACAGAATCAGAATTAATCAAATAAGATTTAATTTTTTTTAATTTCGTTCAAATTAAATTTCTCAAATTAAAATAATATAAAATAATATTTTATTAAATTTTAAAATCAAATGAGATTTAAATAAAGTACATTATTTGAACGAAATTAGAAAAATTTAATCAAATTAAATTTAACCTTTTACTATATGTAGTTTTTGTCTAAATTTAAATTTTTGTTGTATGAAATTAAAATAACATCATTTTGACGTAGGTTTTCATGTCATAACACCGTTAATTATTTATAGGTGGAATGACTACAACATGATTAATTCGAAAATTGAGTGATTAAATTAAAATAATTTAAATTTTAGTCACCAAAATAGGATTAGGAAGAAAGTTTAATGATAAAAAAGGTAACTTACCTAAGAAACAAATATCCGACAAATATTGTCGGTCAGTCACAGAACTGTAGGTACACTCCAATAAGAACATTACATGTGTAGAAATGTCAATTAGCTCAGGAATAAAGTACTCGCTATGTAAACGTTTCCAATAACTATTGGACTGTCGAAACTTTCATGTATTCAAGCTGTAACCTTACCAACCAATTTACACTTCACTTGCAAAAACATATTTTATTTTTGCTTCTTTTGTCGAACTTGTACGGTCGTACATTCGGTTTTGAAACATAGAATTTCGTTTTTTTGTTTGGTTTTTATATGATCTAAAAGAAAAAGCTGTGTTCGGATCTGCGATGGGTGGTGGCGTTTTATGTTAGTTTTCATTTTCTCATTTGAAATGATTAGGGCAATAATGATTTCCTTCTGAAAGTTCTTTTTTTTCCGAAAAGAAAAGAGGATCGTTTTTTTTTCTTTTCTCTTTTTTGTTTTCAATATTTTAATAAATTAATGATCCAAATCTGTCAACCAAACCATGAGGAAGAAGCTCGATACCCGTTTCCCAGCCGTAAGCTTCCTACCTTTTTGTTTTCTTTTTGCTTTTCTTTATTTTTTGTTAATTTGTTTTAGGTATTTGATTCTTGATTGATTCTCCTGAAATTGAAAGCTGGGTCTTTTTGGGTTCCTGTTTTTGTGATTGTTTTTGTTGTTGCAATTTCTATTTGTAGGAGATTGACCATATTGATAATGTTTCCAATTCCAGCAGTTAGGGTTTTTAAAATTATAGTTGATTATTTTTTAACTTCATATAATTTCCATGGAGTATGTTGTTAGGTTTTTGTTTATCATAATCATTTTAAGAGGGTTCTTTTCTTTTGGCTGTTCTATGAAAACACCATGTAGGTTGTTTTATGGTTCGCTAATTTTTTTTGGATGATTTCTACAAAATTGGTCAATCTTTTCTAGCTATCGAGGTTATGTCTTCCTAATTTTTATGTGTTTTTTAAGGCTTTGGTTGGTTCAAACAAATTAAGTGATTTGATACTATTATTCAGTTAATTGATTTTATGACGATTAGGTTGGACCATGTGGTTTATGTTTGTATTTTGTGTTATTCAGCAACATAGATGTTGCTGATTTTTTTGCTCTTTAATGCTGTTGTTGATTGGCAGTCTAATTGATTTCTATAGATGTGGTTTAATTTATGCAAACTCTTTTGAAATGTGTAGCATATGTTCACTTTTTTTCTTATCTGCTTGGAATTTGACGGTGCCAAGTAATCTAAATGTTTTTGTTTTGTTCAGAATATTTTAGCTTCTTTAGAAAAAGATATCACTCTTCAAAGGTTGTGCAAAACTAATGTGGTTTTGAGCATGGTTTAGTTTTGATCTACCTGTCTGAGCTCTCATGTTGAAATGTCAATGATCTTTTTGTTATCGTATATTTCCTTTACTTGAAGCAAGAACAGAGAGTTGTTTGATTCTCCACAAGGTACAAATACTAAAGTAGTTGAAACTTGACATTGGTTATTTTCCCAGTAATTGTGATTAAATTATTATCAATTCAACTGCCTGTTTTGAATCCTTAAGTAATTGCTTGTATCAATTTTGTCTTATTAAGAATGAGCAGTTATGGTACGATCTCCGTGATTGCCAACTCCACACTTGATGTGCCTGTATGTCCTTTTGTTCACGCATTAGCAACTATTCTCTTAGTCTAAAGCATACTTCATTTTTTTTGGAATCACTAAATGGAGTTTGGATTTCAGTAGTATTGATAGGGCACTTTGCTGGACAGTTTCATCGGGGACTTCATAATGATTTCTACAGGAGGGTTAAGGATCATGTTAAAGCCTTATATAGCTTTTTTAACATATTGAAATTAAATTTGATTTTAAGAGAGAGATAGGACTAAGCAATGAGTTTGCTAACGTAACATTGGCTTTAAGAGTTTCTTTAATGCAACTGTTGGAAATTGCTTTTCTTTTTAAAGTAGGCTTATAAAATCTTTCAGAAATATAGTTTTTCATCAAGTCCTATACTATTGTCTTACATAGCCATACAATGGGTTATAACATCGAGCGATAAATGATAGGTTGCAGAATGTCTTGCTTACCGATTTCTAGAGGTTTAGTTTCTTGTTGATCATCATGTTCTTGTTTGGTGTTGAAATTCGCGCTCTGTCTACTCTCTTAATTGATTTGAAATCAAAACCTGATAAAAGGAGTGAGCTTCATGGTAGGTTACTTGCATTGTGGCAACGATATTAAACCAGTGACTTGTAAGGACCTGCAACGTGATGCTCTCCAAATGGAGTGACAAGGAACTCTGTGGCAATGATCATTTCTTCTTGTTTTTGTGATCTCTTGTATTGTTTAACAAACATTGTCTGGTTTCTTATGATCTTAGTTGCTGAGAGCTTGCTGTTTTGTATTAGAATCCAGATACTAATAGATAATGTTGATTGCTTTTAATTTTAATATACAGTTTTATAGTTCCATACTAGAAACATTGTTGCATCTTTGAAGCTTTTTTTTCAATTGTGTATATAAAAGTGTGATTAAAAAGTTTGGCAAGTGAAGAAAAATATCTGTGACTTTTTATATATGCTTTAGGACCATGGGTCTATATACTATCTTTTGGAATGATATTCCCTTATCTAGGTTTTTTTCCCTATATATTTTAGTAGATTTTAGTTGTGATTAGTGCTTAAACTTTGGAAATATTTGTTTTCAGGCTCTCATTAAAAAGATTATGCAAGCTGATGAAGATGTTGGGAAGATTGCATTAGCAGTGCTTGTTTTAGTTTGTGAGTGGCAGTAACATTCGTGCTTTTTACCTTGCAATCTTACAGCTAAAGCCTTGAAATTGTTTCTACAAGACCTTTGTGATCGTACATATGAGATTACCCTTCAGAGAGGTGCAAAGACCATGAATTCATTACACTTGTAAGTGAAGAATTAGCATTATTCTTTGTAGCATGCGACGTTTATTTTCTACTTGAGGACTCGATCATCTATCTGCATTTATATAAATTTTTCATTCATATAACACTCTTTGGCCATTGTGTTTAAGTATTTATTGACAACCCATATTCCATTTCTCTCAAAATACCAACATTTAAACATTTTTCTATCCTAAGCATGAATTGAACCCTCTGCTGGCCTGTAATCTATGTTACTCAGACTTGGGGATAATTTTAGGATATGGGTATATGTCCGAATAGGGTATGCTCAAAAAAAAAATTTCTTTCAGTTTTGCTACACATTTGGGGATCTACCCTAATTCCCATGTCAAAATATATACGGGTGTCAGATATGGATACAATAGGGAAAGTGAAGAGCTGGAGCAACATATCCTGTAATTAATACATCAAGTTATTACAGCTTATAAGATGATTTCAGTAACAAGTTTAGTCTACTAAGAAATTACATACTTGGCAACTACATTGGCTTAAATGATATTGTTTTTTGGGATGTAGAAGTGCTCATATTAGTACTCTATAGACAAAAATTGTACGATCTTTCTTTTATTTTTTCACCCCCTTTAAAAGATTTACTTTGTGAAAGAGAGAAGAGTTGGCACAATATCATATCTAGAGTGGAGGGCAAATCTATGTTACTCAGACTTGGGTGTGATTATTGGATGAGTACGTGTCCGATATAGGTATTCAATTTTCCGCAATATATATATATATATATATATATATATATATATATATATATATATATATATATATATATATATATATATATATATTTGCATGCAGGTATGAAATTATAATGCCTATGCATATGAAAATTCATGAGACATTCTCGTCAATCCTAAATTCCAGCATAATAGGTTTCAACAATGTTTGTGTTACATTGCACTAATAAATTTAGTTCAAGAAATATTAGAAGTGGGATTGATTCGGATCAATAAATACATATTTCTAGTTTCAATTCAATTTATTGTACAAAACGAACAGTTAAAACCTTAAATAAACACCACCACCTTAACATTCCAAAATTTGAAACTTGATTTTCAAAAATTGTTTCCTAAAGAATGTAATTTATTTTACGGAAATAATTATCCGAAATCTATTTTTCATAAAACAAACGGACCTTAAATACTTTGAAGGTAATTCATTTTTCCATCTAATTTCCTTGTTTGATAAAATGAAATCCACATCCACACTCATCGTCTTCACTTTAATGTTAGCTTTCACTCAAGATGGATCGAGAGAGTTGACGGGTAGTCATCCTCTTAAATTTTTTAAATTCTTGTATAATTTAAATATTATTTTTAATATTTATTGATAATATACTTTTATTGTTCTTTAAAAATTTGTAAATTCACTCGTAACATAAATTTTTATTTCTGTTACTACAGAGATCCTAAACAATAAACAATAGACAAGTGAGGCAAGGAAGTGAAAGATTCTATATTTTTTTGCCATCATTCCTCGTATGTTCGACCATAGTTGAGCTTTTCTATAAACATAATGTTTTTTTAAAACATTTAGATTAGTAATTTTTTAGTTACATTAAATTGTAAAGCAAATTGAAAACCTAGTTTCTCTCATTTGTGGTTTCTCGTTGGCTCCTTTTCGTTTTCTCTGTTGATGGGTAGTGGCATTAATCTTTATACCAGTTACCGATCATCGATATTCTTAAATTTTATTTTATATTGTATCTTTATTTCTCTTATTTTTTAATTTTTAATATTTCTTTTTTATGACACATGTTCCTTTGTCTTTAAGTTTTTTTCCCTCTCTTTTTACTCACTTTTTATCGTTTGATTATTGTTTTTATTATTTTTTAAGGGTTAAATTCGACTTTACCACGAATCCACGACTGATCAAGACGACGCTTATCTGTTATTATGTTGATCTTCTCTATTTTTGAATCTTATTATTGGATTTAACTACGTATTTGTATTCATGGATAGTTTTCAACTTTGATTTACGATTTGTTCGATAGTCTTTCAATAATTTGATCTCTTTTTTGTAGTTCGTTTCTCAATGCAATTAAATCTGTTTGTATTTATCTTTGTTCAAAATTTTTTGATTAACTTTTTAACATTTTCCTTGTATAGTCTTTATATGATCTTAAGTGACTAGTTTTTTGTGTCATTGATAATAAAAAAAACATCTTAATTATGTGTTTAATTTATAATTATAATTGTAAACTTTCATTTTAATTTAGAATATTTTCTCCTTTTAATAAAACTAGGGATTTTATATTTCTATAAAAGAGAGAATTTTTGAGTTGTCTGCACTCTTTAGTTCTCTCTCTTACGCTTCTACTCCAAATAGTTTTATAATTTGTATTATCTTTTATATTTTTATAACTTATTTACAATTTCTATAATTTTTGTGATTCCATTTTATATTTTTAATATTTTTTTATAAATATTAAATAATTTTAGGATTTTTATCAAATTTTTATATTTTTTCATTATTTTTTTAAATAATTTTATATGATTCTTTTTTGTTTTCTATAATTATATGATATTTATATTTTTCCAATTTTTGAAATTTTTTTTACAATAATCTATCTTACTTTTCAAAAGTTAAAAAAAATCTTTATCAGATAATAAAAAAATAATTAAATCCCTAATTAAAACAATACCCATTGAAGTAACATTTACTGTCATTGTGTAACGTCAACAACCACATCTCACATTACCATTTAATAAATCATTAGGAACTTTGATGAAAAGACTCAATCCATATAAATTGAATAGCATAAATATTTTACAGAATTTTACCGTTAGTATTTACTATATTTAATACTAAAATAATATTAAATTTTTTAAAATTATATTTATCAATCGACCCAATGACCGGAATTTTTCATCAGTTAAACCTCCAATCAAAATTTTATTCCTGGATTAGTAGGCTGCTTTATGGATTAATAACATAATAAATTTATGACCTGCTGCCCCTCAAATCTTTTATTTATTGTTCATTAGGTTGGGTAACCCGAATCTTGATTAAAATTTTGGGTAAACTACACATTTAATACCTAAACTATCAGTTTTGATCCGTTTTAATACCTAAACTTTAAGTTTTGATAAAAGTGAAAATCTAGTTTTTTTCCAAACTATAACTAAAGTTTAGTTTTTATTTTATTTTAGTATCACACCGTTAAGTTTTGATAAAAATAAAAGTATAGGTGTCAAAACACGTTTATTACCTAAATCATACTTAAGTTTTGGAAAAAAATTGAATATTTTAGTACTAAAACATATCAAAATCGATAATTTAGGTACCGAAAGTGTTAAGTTTTTAACGATGGGATATTAGAATGAAAAAAAAAATAAACTTTTGGTATAATTTTGAAAAAAAATGAAAGCTTAGGTACTAAAATAGATCAAAACTAATAGTTTAGGTACTAAATGCATAATTTATCCTAAAAATTTTTATGACAAGAATGCTCGTTTTGAAATAAATTTTGGAAGTTTTATTTCTTAGATCCATGGAGATGACCATTTTAATATTAATTTAACTCGCTCAAAACCAATCAGGCGATATAACTATATAAGGATAGGCATGAAACCCAAATCTAAGGATTCCAACCCCACCCCCATTGAGTCGGTTTTTTTAAAAAAACTTACGTTTAAGTAGATCGGGTTAAAAATTTTAGATTATGAGTTTAAGTTAATTGAATTCTGATTTAAGATAAAAAAAATGTCCGAGTCAATCCAAAAAATAATATTATAATTATATCTTATATATTTGGAGACAATTACAATAAAATCTCTCTATATTATTTTTTCAGAATAAAATTAAAATGTATATATTTGTGTAGAGATGCGGATTTTATCTCAGAAGACAAGTCAAGTTCAGGTCGGGTTTCGGGTGAAGGATATATTTTTATCGGGTCAGGTTGGCTAGAAACCCGACCCATGATGCATCCCTAGAGGGACAGATAGTCCAACTGTAAAAGAAATAAAATTTGTTATGCAAAGAATGTTCATTTTCCTAATATATATTCAATGGTTAAAATTTTGCATGTGGAACATATAATTAGAGATCTAATGCACGATAGACAAGATGAATAAAACAAATGCATATAGGGCGAGTGTAAAAGAGAGGGCTTGACATCTTTTACAAGTTTGATGGGAGGCCTTCATCCATAGTTTTTCTAATGAAATGTTTGAACGGGTCACCAATTCATACAAAAATATGGCTCCAAAACAGTTTGACATCAAACCCATAGGAATAAGAAATATGTCTATTCCAAGACACGCTACTTCATCGTCGTCGAGCAGACATGCTACTTAAAACTGCTTATAAACATTGACAAAATTGTAGAGTGGCCACACTCTACCATGCTTCTTACCTTTTTCTCTTTGCTCCAGCCCCTGAACCACGCCCACCTTTCTTTTCTGCATTTCCGGTCCTACCACCACCTCTTCCTCTACCAGCTGGTGCCTTCTTAGCACTTGAACTCCCTGTCCCTTTCAACTCCATTTGTACTTCGATCCCTGGGAAAAACGATTAATTGGTAAGATGGGTAAACATAATCAAAAACAAAATGAGATAACATTAGCTACCTTTCGAATTCAAACTCTGAAGTTCGGCCTGCAGCTTCTTACCATCGATAGAACCTTCTGGTGTGCCAAAAACCAAAGGTAAGGCATAAACATAATTACTTAATGGAAACTACTTATTTGGTTAGTCACCCATAAGTGCCAAACCCTTAAAAGACTCGTTATGGCACACAGATTTGTTTTACATTTCATACAAGTCTCGAGAAAGAGGAGTTTATACCTAGGGACTTCGAAAATGTAAGTTCGAGTTTATACCTTGAGAAATAGGAGTGGGTTTTTTTTTCCTGGAGACTTCCGATTTGAGAACTCAAGTTTAAACCATGCAAATTTTGTCTGTGTTTGTGTGTGGGGTTTAAGGTCTAGGCAACAATAGAAAGCCATGTTGGGGCTTAAGAGATGGAATGATTAGATTTATGAGTTTTGATAATGACATCTTAAGTTCTAGACTTGAAAGGGGGGATAGGTTTACGAGATGGGTGACAACAACCATAGTAAAATCAAGGGCCTAGTGAAGCTCGATACATATTCACAGGTGAAAAAGACGAACAAAACATTCTACACCCTCACTGAGAAACTTTTTCCCATTGCTTAAATGACAATAGCACCACAAATTTCCCTGCTACAATGGGAAATCCAGTGTCCTTGTCCACAATACAAATTTTTGGTGGTCTCAGCAAAAAGCAGTATAACATATTTCTATTTC